GGTTTGGCTCACTCTTGGTTCCCCAGGACATGATACAGGCATTTCATAAAGACTGACTAAACAGTAAATGAGCTGAACTAAGGGATGAGAGGGCGGGATTAAAGATGACATCTCAGCTTCTGGCTCACCTAGGGGAGAATAATGGAAGCATAGCAAGAGAGGAGGCCCAGGGAGGCAGAGAGGTGAGCGGCGAAGGTGCCTGCGAGGGGCCAAGCAGGCAGTGTGAATGGGCATGGAAAGCAGGGAGAAGAAGGGAGTGTGAGTTTGGGTCACCTCTGTACACCAGCAGGGAGAGCAGTGCCTGGAAAAACAAGAGGCTCGATGTGTTTGCCGAATGCATGAGTGAGTGAACGAAGTCAAGAGGCGAGTTCTGGACTGGAACTACAAACGTGGCTGTCACCCGTCCCTGGAGGGTGCTGAAGGCCATGGGCGTGGATGGGGTCATTTAGGGAAGAGTGTTTGGAGAAAGAAAGGAAAGGAACCCGCTAACCCAGCCACCGCCTCTCCCCACACGAGGTATTGCTGATTTAGGAAGCAGGGACCCTAACTCAGCAAAAAGCAGAGCCCTGCAGTTCCAGGAGACTCCTAGGGAATAGCCATAGAAGCAGGCAAATCTGGTAGGAGGGGGCCCCACAGAACTGTGGGGAAAGGAGAGGCTGCCAGCACTAACAGCAGAAGGTCCCTCTGACCTGGAGTCACAGTCACACTCCTGGCTCCCTCTCAGCCCTTGATGCTGTGGTCAAACCCAACCGAGGTTTCCCAGGAGACAGCAGGTCTCAGAGTCCCTGGCAGCTATTGCTGGCCTCTGACACAATACAGGCTGTTGGGGCATGGGTGTGCTTATCAAGCCCTGGGTGACTGAGCCCACTCATGTGCCATCTGTTGTGTGGGTACCACGATGGGCACACACAAGGGCCTGGAGCTGGGAGATGAAGGCGGGTGCTCTTGGTGGTGATGCTGTCAGGGCCCTGAGAGGCTGCAAGGGGTGGACGCTGGGTATATGTCGTCAACCCAAGCCCAGGGTATCCACCAAGTCACTCTGGACTGGATGCACCCCAAATATCGCTCTCTGCCCCACCCTGTGCCTGTGATTGGCTGGGCAGAGATTGACAGAAAGTCTAGCAGGGAATTCCACCCTAGAGTTGAGGACTTTGAGGAAAATCATGCTAGGGAAGGAGCTTATCTGAGTCCCGGTCAGAAGACCGGGTTCTGGACCTGCCTCCATGACTGATACCTGGGTGGTTCCATGTACGTCAGAACATCTTAGAACTAGAAGGGGTCTTCTAGTTCCACCTTCCAGGCTGAGCAGAAATCCCTCCCATGAACCCCCAGCCCATGATCATTCAGAATCTCTCTGAACTTCCAGGATGGGGATTTCACTCCCCATAGGACAACCCATTCCGTCAGGAGTTTGTTAGAAAGCCTTTCTTTATCCAAAGGCTGGAAGGACCCAACACCAGAGGTTAACAGCATCACCTCCAGGGAGGACAGTGGGATTGAGAGAGGGAGACAGGGTTTCCCTGTTGATTTGGTTTGGGATGCTTTCAGCACTGTGTGTTAAACTTGTGATGGCAAGAAAGGCAATGAAAAAGACAGGTTTTTCTTGATTGAAAGCCATTCTGCCTTCCTAATATTTCTACCTACTAATCCTAGGTCTTCTCTCTGTGATCAGAGAATAATCTAAACCCATTTTCCCTCTGATGCCCTTCAAATACCTGAACTTGATCTCCATCAAGTTTCCACTGAGACTTCTTCAGGCCGAGCTCCAGACCAGTCTCCATCCCAGGACCCCCAGAAAATAAAACTCACTGGGTTGCAGAAAGAAGGAACCAATCATTCCTTGAGTTGGGAGTTAGCTCATGCTGATTCATTAGTGAGGCCTGAGATTTTCTTCTCCGTTTTCTGTGTGAGTGTGTGTGTGTGCGTGCGCGTGTGGGGCAGGGGTCATGATCACATCACTTACTTCCTCCAATCTTGGTTTTCTTACCATTAAAGGGGAAAACAATACCTTTGCTATGAGAATCAATACAGATGAAGGAAATGAAAAACATTAAAAAGCACAAATCTATACTCTGGGTGTGATGACCCAGAAGCCCCATTCCATTTAGATAGCAGCTAAGTGTAGGGCTCATAGAGCCAGATGGCTTGGGTTCAAATCCCAGCTTTACTGCTTATTGGATGTGTGACCTTGGGGAAATGACCTGACATTACTGTGCTGCAGTTTTCTCCTCTGAAACAAGGGACGATGATAACATGAAGCTCAGAATGGGTCTTTAGGAGCATTAGATATATGGCCTAGCACTTTAAAAAGGTTAACTGCTGGGTATTACCACCCCAACTCTATTCCTTCACAGAGAGATAGGGGTTCACAGAAATGAGGCAAATTCATGGCACTTATTTGAAAGGTGAGGTCATTAAACCAAAGCAGTCATTGGAGTGAGTTGCTCCCTGACCCCAATATTTGTACACCATGCTTTGTGCTAGGCACTGTGCTAAGGGTGTCTCAGGCCCTGCCTCACTGCAGGGGTCTGAGGGTGTTGCTGGGGGCTCCAAAGGCATCTCCTTGGGTCCCCTCAGGCTGTTGGCACTGGGTACCCTTGGGCTGCTTACTGGATTCTCAGCCCCTGACCATGAAATGGTTCCACATTGATAGACAAAAAAAACCCCAAACAAACCAAACAACAACAAAAAACCAAACACCATTTTGGATGTGGGTCCTGATGCATAATATCATTATGGAACCAGCAGCGCCTCCCAGCCCATTATCTCCCAGCCAAGCTTCTCTGAGGCGAGCCTGGCTGCAAATGGCTTTCTCCTGTCTGAGGGGTGGGGGGGTGGGGGGGTACAGCCCCTACTTGCCCTCCACTGCTGGAGGAGAGATTTTATCTTTAATTAACAACTGGCTGCCTGCCATTGCCTCACCTCTGCTGGCCCAGGCTCCCAGCCTGACTCTCTGCTTCAGGAACAGGCTTCCCTTTGCTTCTCCCCTCCCCTCACCTCACCCTGCTCCCTGGTGAGCTCTTGTCCTTTCCTGGACAGATGACCCTGGGTCAGGCCTTCACATTCACTGACTCTGAGATGCATGCTATCATTACACCCATTCTACAGGCAGGGAAACTGAGGTTCAGTGAATTGCCCCAAGTTACCCAGCTGGGAAGTGGCAGCTGAACTGAGGTCTCCCATCTGCCCACTGGCTCGAGTAGGGAGGGCAAACGTGTGCACAGGCTACATAATTCAGAGCCCTGTGCAAAACAAAAGCACTGGGCTCTTCTTCAGTAATTATCAGTAACTTCCAGAGGGCGACAGCTGAACATTAGTTGGTTGTGGGCCTTCTGAGCGACTCAGGGGGCACAGCCCTGAAGCCAAGCCCCTGTGTGACTGTAGGAGGGTCTAGGGTAGGGATGACATCCGAGCATCCCCCACCACCCCCACCTCCTGTCTGGGCCCAGGACTGTTCACTTCCCAGCCCTCAGCGATCCCAGTGTGGCCCCAGGCCCTTGAGAGCCTCAGTTCATCAGCCATCCAGTCATTACAACTCCGGCATCCCCTGGGCCTCGGCCCACACAGAATTGGTGCAATTTCAGGGGAGCGAGGAAGCCCCCTGCAAAACGAGGAATACAGTGGAACCGCTGAAATGAACAAGTCTCTTCTTCCACGTTATGGTTGGGGGTGGGGGTGGGGTTAGGGGGGTGGTGGCAGCAGTAGAGATCACTGCCCAGGAGCCTAGATCCCAGGTCAGTCCTCTTGGTGACCTTGGCCAGAATCACTCTTCATCTCAAGCATTCGTGTCTGGTTCTAAATGCAGGAGTTGGGCTCCACTGGTGATTCCTGGTGGGGGTGGGGTTAGGAGTATGCATTTATTAAATGCTGTGGGGGGGCAGCCAGGGAGATCCCCACAGACATAGAAAGGAAAGGCGGAGGCAGTCACACAGCGGGCACAACAGAACGCTCCAGATGTCTTTATTGGGGCTTGAGCACGGCATGACAGTCACAGGCATGCGGACAGGGCGGTAGGGCCCAGCCTAGGCATGCCTCAGACGCACGAGGGGACAGCTTTAGAAAAGGACGACCAACATCAGGGAGGGGCAGGGCGGGCTGGGAGTGGGGAGGGAGGGCTGAGGCAGGGGCAGAGGCCAAGGTCGAAGGGGGGCACCTGGCCTCGGCTATTGCACGCATCCTCTGGCCACCAGCCAGGAAGTACAGTATTGCAACTGGTCTCCGCTCGCCCGCGGCTTCCCCTTCTCAGACCCCTGAGCCAGATGGGCAGACAGACCCCTTCCCTGCCCGTCTGCCCAGCAGCATCTTTGGAAAACAAATGGACGAAGGAGACAGAACAAAAACCCAGAAATAAAAAAAGACAAAACACCCCCTCAGTCAAGGACACAGGGAAGGTGGAGGAAGGAGTGGAGGAAGCTGCAGAGGAGCCCTGGGAAGTCCCCCAACAACTGGGGCATGGGGTGGGAGGTAGAGCCCCAATCTGGGGTGGGGTGAGGCCAGTGGAGCAGTGACCCCAGGGGGCAATCTGGCCTTCCACCAGCCTCTGGCCCACAGGGGAAATGCTCCCAAGAGGGAGAGTCTAGCCTGGGACCACCCAGCTAGACTGGCAGTTCCCAGGTGTATTTTTCCTGGGATATTCCACACACACATTCAGCAGAAACAAAGAATCAGTGAAGGGAAAGGGGGGGGGCGGGGCAAGGATTTGGGGAGACACAGCCTAACGAAGAAGACAGACCACCAACAGCACGTGCACTACACACAATAGTACAGTATGTATGAATATAGATACTATATGTGCATATATATCTCTTCAGTGTACAACAGAACAAGAACATCAGACCCGATGGCTCTGGGCCTGAGGGTCACATGGGAGGTTTTCCATCAGTCCTGTGCAATCAAGGATATGAGTCTTTCCCAGCGAAAGATTCTTGCCTGGGTTCCAGAGTTGCCCTAAGCCTCTGGCTTTCTGTCTGTCTGCCTGTCTCTCTCACGTTGGTGCCGCTTTAAGAGAGGGTGAGGACTTCGGCCTGGGCATAGTTGGACGAGAGGGCGTCTTGGCAGGTCTCTGTGTTTAAAGAGCACAGGTGTGAGACACTGGGACGCACGCTTTCGGCTCAACATTGCCTTCTTGAGAGGTAAGGAGTTCAGCAAAAGAAAGGGAGAAACGAAGAATGAGATATTAGAAGGAAGGCAGCTGCTGACCCACACGCTGTGGGCTGAGGAATAGGCCAGAGATGCAAGGCATGGGGCCTGGAGTTAAGAAACAGAAACAGCAGGGATAGGAAGGGAAGGGTGAGCCCTTCATCATCCTGCCAACCCAGCGCTGGGCCTCAGTGACCCGTAGGTGATGTCACAGCTCAGCCCCACGCCTGTCGGATAACGAGCTCCAGGAACCAGGAGCCCTCAGGTCCCCAAAGCTGCAGAGCGGTGGGGAGAGGGACCACAGCTCTGCAGCCTGGCATGGAGGCGGCAAGGGAAGTTCCTGCCGGGGCTCTCAGCCCACAGGCCATCGCCCGCCCAGCCTGTGCTCCCCCCAACACAGTTCCATCTGCTGTCACCACCTGGGTCTAGTCCACTGTCCCAGGGGCTGGCGAGGAAGGCTCCTGAGTGGGCTGCCATGTCAGGCCCAGCTCCCTTCCTCAGTCTGGCAGGAAGAGAGTCCCAGCAGCTGCAGGGTGAGTGCTGAAGAGGAAGCTCAAGGAGGACGAATGTGCCCATCTCAGGAGAGGAGGCAGGAAACGCAGCACCTCAGTGAGCCCTTCCAGACATCTCCTCCTCAGCCTGGGGCGGCAGTGGCCTGGGCCTTCCCAGCTGGGGCACAGGCAGGGCAGGCAGGAGGCTGCAGTGGGGGCAGGGACTTTGGGAGGTGAGACTCTCTGGCCAGGGCAGATGAGGCCCGGCCCTGAGGAAGCTCTACGAAAAGGGAGCCAGGGCTGTTGCACAGCCTCTCCTGTGACTCCCGTGCACCCTCCCCTCTGGCTCCAGCTCACAGCTTCTCCTCTCAGAAGCCCTGAGGGCTGAGGACCGGTCTCCACAGTTGTCAGCAGCAACTGGTACAAACAGGAAGAGAGGTAGCAACTCCTGCCTGGGCTGCTTCCCCTGCTCTGCGGGGAGGGTCTGGGCCCCAGCTGAAGGTGAAGACAGTTAGAAGCCAAAGTAACGGGTACGAGCCCAAATCCAGAGGCAAGGGAAAGTAAACTGTGCCCTCAGATTGTGGGCGGAAGACAGAGCCTTCTCCTAAAAAGGGGAGGCCCAGGGCCTAGGCAAGCCTGAGGCCTGTGAAGAGGGCCACCTTCCCAGATAGGGCCTAGAGGACTGTGGGGCCCTGTAAACTCACTCTGTCCTTTCCCAGGACCCTGAGAAGGAACTGGGGCCAGCAGCCTCCTCAGTGTTCCTGTTGGCTCAATCCTGTGTCAGCCCTACAGAAGCCAGGGAGCCAGGAGGGGTGTGTGGGAGCCCCCCCAGCCCCCCCAAGGCACAAGGGGCCCCAGGCTGGCACTCCTGCATCATGTCGCCCAGGGACATCTGTGCCCACCATGGGGGTGCCATGAGCATGCCCGTTCCTGTGGGAGGGAAGAGGCAAGGAGGCGGTGGGTGCCGTGGAAACTTGGGCTCCTGACAACTTGAGGGCTGCCACAGAAATAGCCGCCTCAGTTCCCTGAACCAGAAAGGCAAGTGAGAGGAGGAAATAGCTATAGTGCCCATGCTACACCGGTCACCTCACTCACAGTGTCCACGCTGGAGTCAGGACCCCAGCACAGCTGGGGAGCCCAGTGGGGGCAGGAGCTAAACCATCCTCCTGGAAGAGAAGCTGGGCTCTCAGACTGGACTGAAAGGGTAGAAGGTGCCCTGCTCTCTGTCCTGCTCCCCAGGGCTTGCCTGTCTCTGTCCCCTTCTGAGGGGCAGTGGCATGAATGGTCCTGTATCTTCTCAGCTCTTCTTCTCTTCCTCCTGAGAGCAAACAGGACGCCAGCCCCACAGAGCACAGCAGGGCGGGGAGAGCCCAGGATGCACCTGAAGAGAATTTCCTGTGTCTGCCCAAGGCTGAAGAAGGCACTAACTGAAATGGGAATGTTTCTAGAATATGCTCCTCTTCACTGTCCCCTGCAAGCCCATGAAATGGTCTGACCTTTCTGCCCAGTTCACCTTCCGGGGCGGCTTCCAGAGCCCCCAGCCTCCTGCCGAGTCCCCGAACGCTGTCTGGCGGCATCTATCTCTGCCCGTTTGGAAGGAGCAGACGTGGACCTTACTTAGTCATTCCCTCCAGAGCGTTGCATAATCTGGCTCTAAAACTGCCAGGCGCCCAGCTCTGCTGTCAGGTCTAACTCCCATCAGGTGAAATAGGAAATGCCTTGGCGGAGGTGTTCCGAGTTCCTGGGCTGAGGCGTCCTGCTGGTGCACTGGGGCCTGCCCTGGGGAGGGGCCCCCTGTGGCTGGGCCGGCCCTGGCGTGGCCGCCTGCCCCCGCGGGAGGCAGCAGGTGGGGGCAGGATGGCTCCGCTCCCTGCACTTCCCCTCAGCTGCCCCTGCCCAGGGCGCACCCCTGCTCACTCTGTGACTCACAGACCTGTTGTGCTCCTGGGCTCGTTAAGTAAATGAATACACTTAATTATAGAAATTAGATGAGTCTCCGGTTCTGGCAGCGATATAGAGCGCAGAGGCTGGGTGGGAGCGGCAGGTGACTCAGAGGCAGGGCTGGGAGCTGGAGGGAGCAGGAGAGGAAGGAGAACTGGAGAGGAAGCAGGAGAAGCGGCGTGGCTAGTGATGCCGCAGCTCGGGGGGAGGGGGGGGCACAGATGGGAGGCTGGCTCCAAGGCTGGGCTCCACCCGAGAGGGGGACATCCCCGCAGATGGGCCACCTATCCTGGGGCCCCAACTTGGGAACCCCTGCCTGCGCCCCACGCCCGGGACGCCTTAATCCCGGTTGCTTTGGGTGTGGGATAGACAGACAGACAGAGATGTTCAACTGCAGGCTGTTCGGTTACTGGTTGAAGGCCCTGAGGAATGGGGGTGCATTTGCTGTGATTTAGGTGGGAGCCTGAGGGGGAGGCACGGCCCAGAGACACAATTACGCAGTCCTAGGGGTGATGGCACCTTCAGCAGAGAATGGGAGGGAGTGGGGTAGGAGGCCTTCAAGTAATCTCCCCTCGTTCTCAGGCTCCAGGGCTGAACCTTTTAGAGAGGTGGGTGCTGTGGACAGGAGGCTCGGGGGCCTCAATTCTCCTGTATCCTGTTTGACTCCCGAAGACCCAGGAGGGATGAAGCTGGAGGCATGTGTGTGCCTGTTTGTGTGCGGGTGCCCAGGGTCGGGGAGAGCTGAGGGTGCAGCTACGAGGCCGAGTGTCCAGGGGGTGGGCTGGTGAGTGGGTGGAAAGGGTGGGCGAGCAGGGGCTTTCTCGGAGGGTAGGGTGAGCTGTATCGCGATGCCAGTGGAGACAGCCCCAGACTGGTTCCAGCCGCTCCCGCTATGTTGTTTAGGCTCCGGGACTTTCCACAGCCTTGGTGAAGAAAAGGCACATGGGTCAGGGGGGCGAAGCTCCTTGCCTGAGACGTTCCATGGGATCCGTGTTCCGGGGACCCAGCAGGGCAGGCAGCCCCAGGGTTGGCTGCAGAGGTCTGGTTCAGCTGGGAAAGGTTTCCTGGCTCTCTCTGGTCTCCAGATGGACCCCAGGGCCCCATCCTCAGCTGCCCTTTGCTTTGTCATCATCCCCAGGTAAGGTTTCCCTCCAGTTGTACAAAGACCCTGCAGCCCTCAGAACCCTCCTTTCTCAACCCTAAGAAGCCCTAATGATCACACACCGCTTTCCTCCGAGGGAGTTCACACTCTGTCACATAGGTACCTACAAGGTCTCACTGGTGTCTCTGCTGGTGGCTGGAGGAGGTCTGGGCCCGCTCCCTCCTGGACCTGATTGTAGCCCAAGCGCAGAGAAGCACGGCGTGGTCTGGCATGGGTAAAGTTGCCGAATGCACACTGGGAGTTTGGCGATGCTAATTGCCACGCATCCTTAGCAGGGCCTGTTTCCCAGCAACCCACCTGTTCCCTCTCGAAGGTCACTCTAATTGGCTGAGCTACATGCTTGTTGCCAAGAGGCAGTGTGGAGGCATCTTGAAAATAGAGCAGCCAGGCCCCACAAGCACCCAGAGAGATATGGTGGTGGGACACAGGCTCCCCAGCCCCACACATGCTCACACGCGGTCTTCTCCTCAGATGGGACCTGCTCCCCAGGACCTCAGGGCCTCTCCTCTGACTTGCACTCTCACAGCTTCTTCCTCCACACTGCTACTTCCACTGAGTCTTTCACCACACTGGATGAAAACAGGGGTGCTCAGGATTTCTGCTTGCTCAAGTCCTCCATGGGGGTGGGGTCCCTGCCATCCCACCTTCTATGCTAACCACTTAGCATTCTCCAGCCAGAGCAAGGCTCCAGGTCTGAACTAGGACACAGGAGAAGCCTCAGTGTGTTTGGGGTGGGGGGTGGGGCAGGAGGGACAGGCACACCCAGAGCCCAAGGATTGGGCTATGCAGAGGCTAAGGGTGACCAGAGGAGCACAGGGGAGTGTGTAAGTAGTATGAGCACCATCCATTTAAAACTCTAAATTTAGCTGGGCCATATCCAGGTTCCAGATTGCTGCTCTTGCTTCTGCCACCCAGCAGGGCACATGTCCAGCAAAACTGGACACATAGCTCTCAGGGCTTGGTTAGGGTCAGGGTGTTCTGGGGACAGTGGTGATGAGCACGCCAGGGAAAGGGCCTGGGAAGGTATCCCTAGACATTTTCTGGGCTGGGCAGGCCAAGGGACATCCTTGTGGGGACAGAGACATCACAGGCTATTCCTATAGCAGTTACTGTCCCTGCCTCACTTGACCTTGTTTTGGTTTGGGATTTGGGGATGGTGGGAAGTAGCTGGGGGAAAGGGGTTGGACTGAAAGAAGTCTAGTTAAGAAGCAGCCTGCATACCCAGCTGTTTTGGGGTGAGAATTGGGGGTTTATCCTGAAACTAGGAACACTGGGGCTTGAGAGCCCTGGTCCTCAGCCATCATGGCGCTCCACCATCCCTAATCATTTCAGTCCCACTTGGGCAGGCCAGGAATCCCCGAGCTCCACTGTGGATGGAATTTCAGCTTTCCCTTGAACTCTCTAAATCTTTCAGAACATACCCCCTCTCCCTGCCCACTCCCAGCCCCTGGTCACCTTCTGGCTCTACCTGGAAGGGACAGTCACATCCCAGCGGCTTGCACAGCTGGGCTGCAGGACCCCCAGTTGTAGGACGGAGGAGGTAGGGCCTGTGCCAGGCTCTCTGAAGACCTCACACCAGAACCCCATTCTCACCCTGACTCCTGAGACTCCTGGGAGTCTCCTGGGACTACTTACTTAGGAAACCTGAGCTGTGTTTAAAGGAGGCCTAGGTGAAGGCTAGCAATGACACTGTGGAGTCAGACCTAAAGGTCACAGCAGGAACCAGAGGAAGGGAAGGTGATCAAATGCAAGGAGTGGGCAGGAGCCCTGATCTGTGGTCCCTTCACCCTCCAGCACTTTTCTTTCTGGAGGGCACCTGGCGGGTTAGAGGGGCTCTGTGTACCTTCTGGGGATGTCTCGGGCCTTTCTAATCCACGGACTAGAACATCAGGGGACGCACCCTAAAAGCGAGGGTGCGTCCAAGGCAGAGGAGATGGTGGCCACAACCTCGGAGGAGGAGGGGACCTTAAGCTCCATGGGGGACACTGGGGAGACTCAGCTCCATGGGGGCTCCCCCCCTGCCCGGCCTGGGGAGCCATACCTTTGCGGACACTACCATCGGCGCAGGCATAGTCCCCAGCGCTGAGCAGGAAGCAGGCAGCTGCCTTCTTGTTTCTGTCTCGGGTGCCGGAGCGGCGCAGGGCCCTGCGCTCCTCAGGGGTGGGGGCGGAGGCCAGGGGCTGGGTGAGGCCGGCTCCCTCCTCGTCCGACAGCACCGCACTGGCATCGCCGTTCTGCTTGGAATCTAAAGGGGCAGACAGAAAGGAGACTGCAGGAGGGCTGATCCCTGGCCTAGAGCATCACTTACCCAACCCACAGGGAGAGTGCTGCCAGAACCAGGGGGTGGGCCTGCTCCTGGGGGGCAAAGAGTGGGATGCTGACTTTCCTCTCAGTCTTGGCTGGAGATGGAGCCACAGATACCCCAAAAGCAGAGACTCCCCAAGTTGACCCTGTAAGATCAGCTCAAGGCAGGCAGTAGAGTCTGCTGCCTCCTTGGGTCTGGCTCAGGCTAACACTTGGATAAGAATGCATTCCCTGGGAGAGTGTCTGGCTTGATGGAGTTAAACTTACAGAGTGGCTTCCACAGCTGTCTTCCTGGGCCACCTGAAGACACTTACTTTTAGTCACCAGGTATCCAAGCCAGAGTCGACGCCTGAAGGATTCAGAGCCCTTTGTCTCAGGGGCTCACCTGTGTCTGGGGGAAGACACACTCCCCCCCCCCCACTGCGGGGAAGAGGCTCCAATTCTGCTCCCACTGCTGTATGCTCTTAGTCCTGACCCCTGCTCCACCGAACAGGCAACAGCACAGGCAAAGCTGAGTCCCTGGGTCTGGAGAAGAGGGGGTGGCCAGTTGCCTGGAGGGCAAGGACCAGGAATGCCCTTACTATGACCGAGCAGTTAAGGTCAGGCTAAGGCACAGCTCATGGTGCCACAGGTGAAGTGTGCATGGCAGAAGCCTAGTATACACTTGTACACTGTGATGTTAACTTACCCTCTGAGCCCTGAATGGACCTCAGGGTAGAACTGAAATTCCCTGGGGTACGGGCTAGGAGATTTCTGTTCAGGAATCTGGGAAGAAGGTACCATTTTGGTGGGGGAGAGAAGGGGAGCCTAAAGGGTTCCATCAAGGTCTTTGAAAGACCCACGCTCTTGAATGACCCCGGCATGTTGGACGGGCCCCCCACCAACAGGCCACAGGTGAATATCCTGAGTCAGGCACCTCCCCACAAGGACAAGTCCCACTCTACCCCCAGAACCATGCCCGGAGGGAGCTGCTGTCTTATGAGCAGCTCCCCAGTGGCCTGGCATCCAATGGCCCCCCCATACCAGGAATCTCATACCTCTCTCAGGAGCTCACCCCATACCTAACAATTGGGTTTCCACTCTCCAACTTAACTCTGTGTTGCTGTGGATGAAGCCAATTTCCTTTCACCTCTTGACTCAGGTAGAAGCATGCTTTCCTGAGCTGGCCTTTCCCATCCTTGGATAGCATGATTCAGACCCTCAGGTCTGCTTATTCTACCTTGCAGCCACCAGTTTTCTCCCCCTTTCCTTTCCCCTCTCCCAACATTGTCTGGGCTGCTCCCTCTTGGTTCCCTTGCATCCATGTTAAACCCCAAGCCCAGGACTCAATCTAGCTTGTGCCAAGCAGAAGGCAGCCTCCCACAGCCATTACGTTATCACATTTATTAGGCCAAGAGACACCAGACTCAAACGTTTGGAAAGAAATGATTCATGTGTTGATGCTCCTCAGGAGAACAGCTGCCCTCCTCTCCAGCTAATGATGACAGTGCCTGATATTTGTAAAGTGGGTTTAACTTATCAAAGTACTTTCAGATCCGCCATTTATTTGGGGCTTGTCCAAGTCTTGGAAGTAAGATATTGATAGCATTTCTGTTTTACAGGTGAGGGGTTTATACCCAGAGAGGGTGAATGACTGGCCTGGGGGCACACGGCACACTGGCCAAGACAGGATTAGAAACCCAGCCTTCTCATTCACAGCCCCATGCACTGCCCATAACAACCTAAATTTTGTGGCATACTCATTCTACAGAGCCTGATGTTCAGGAAGCTATCAAAAAACAGAGATTCAACCTCAATACTGTGCCTTCCTAAAGGCATGCCTTATATTTAGGGAAGCCAGTGCAACAAGAGCACAATCCCAAACTCCAATGCCTGAGTTTCAGATGGGAGCTCCCCTGGCCACTAGGGGAGAAGTGGCTTTCCTCACCTGCCCGTTTCCTCTCAACCACACCCTCTTCTGGGGCAGGGGGGCTGGCATCACTGTAGGTGCTGTCCCTGGGTGAGGTCTCCTGTGACTTGCAATAAATGGGCGACTCCAGCTGGGGTGGCCGAGGTACATGCTTCTTCCGTTTCTTGGGCAGCTTCTGCTTGGCCATGGCCAGAGAGTAGTACATGCCGAAGTTGTTGACAATAACAGGCACGGGCATGGCAATGGTGAGCACGCCGGCCAGAGCACACAGCGCCCCCACCAGCATGCCGGACCACGTCTTGGGGTACATGTCCCCGTAGCCCAGTGTTGTCATGGTGACGACGGCCCACCAGAAGCCGATGGGGATATTCTTGAAGTCGGTGTGGTCATTGCCCCGCGGGTCGGAGGGCCTGGCGCCGATGCGCTCCGCGTAGTAGATCATGGTGGCGAAGATAAGCACGCCCAGGGCCAGGAAGATGATGAGCAGCAGGAACTCGTTGGTGCTGGCGCGCAGGGTGTGGCCCAGCACGCGCAGCCCCACAAAGTGGCGCGTGAGCTTGAAGATGCGTAGGATGCGCACGAAGCGCACCACACGCAAGAAGCCCAGCACGTCGCGGGCCGCCTTGGATGACAGGCCACTCAGTCCCACCTCCAGGTAGAAGGGCAGGATGGCCACGAAGTCGATGATGTTGAGCAGGTTCTTGACGAAGTCCAGCGTGTCCGGGCAGCACACGATGCGCACCAGGAATTCCAGCGTGAACCACAGCACACACACGCCCTCGATGTAGGTCAGGATGGGCTCCGTCTCCACCTCGCGCCGGAAGCGCACGCTGGTAGTATTCCCCACCCGGTGAATCTCCGTCACGTTGCGGTCGATGTTGAAAGCCTCGTGGGTCTCCAGACAGAAGGTGGTGATGGACACCAGGATGAAGAAGAGAGAGGCGAAGGCCACCACCTATGGGCGGGGAGGAGAGTGAGGGCAGCTGTGTCAGGAATGGATGCGCCCAGCGGGGACAGGGCCCTCTGCCTGTGGAGGGAGGGGCCATAGGTCACCAGGCAGTCTGTCAGGTGGTGAGAGGTGGGATTAAGGTGCAAGGTGGGGGGCTGGAATTCCCTCCCCAGAGGGTCTTCATCCGTGTGCTGTGAGTTGCTCAGTCCTGTCCACTCTGCAACCCCATGGACTATAGCCTGCCAGGCTCCTCTGTCCATGAAATTCACCAGGCAAGAATAGTGGAGTGGGTAGCCATTCCCTTCTCCAGATCTTCCCAAGCCAGGGATTAACCCAGGTCTCTTGCATTGCAGGCATATTCTTTACTGTCTGGGCCACCAGGGGAGCCCTTTATCCATGTACTTGCTAAGGCAGTACTTCCCAGTCCTTGTCAGGTGAACAGAGGTTAGAGGCTGCTCTTGGCTGGAAGGAACTGAACTGAGAACTATAGCTGCCCCATCCTGCCTACTGCCTACCTCTGCCCACCTCTAACCCTGTCGTGCTCTGAGCTTCTCAAACTGGAATGGCTATATAAGTCATCTGGGAACCTTGTTAAAATGCTACTCTGATTCAGGAGGTCTGGGGCAGGGCCTGGGCTTCTGCATTTCTAACAGGCTCTCAGGTAAGGCTGCTTGTCCACAGACCGCACCTCAAGTAACTAGACTTCAAGGCAGTGGTCCTCAAAGTGAGGGCCTGGATCAGGAGCATCAGCATCAGCATCAGTTGGGAACCAGTTAGAAACGCCAAGTCTCAGGCCCCACTCAAACCTACTGAATGACAAATGCCGGGGGGAGGATCTAATAATGTTCCAACAATCCTTCCCAGTAATTCTGATACACACCAAGTTAAGAGAGCCACTGCATTAAGGAGTACCTAGAGGCAAGGGGCTGGCCTTCTACCTATTAAGCTCTGGCCGTGACCCACATCTTCAAGCCCTGTCATAGCCCCTCTGGCCAGCCTCTCACCCTAGGATTCCTAGCTGACTGCCCAGACGGTGACAAGCATTTGAAGGAAGACAGCCTGCTGCAGGGGAGGAGACAGGGTAGTCTGTGCAGAATATCGACTCTGTCCCTTCTCCAGAGGCTTCCCTGGTGGCTCAGAAGTAAAGAATCCGCCTGCAGTGCGGGAGCCACAAGAGATGCAGGTTCGATCCCTGAATTGGGAAAGATCCCCTGGAGGAGAGCATGGCAACCCACTCCAGTATTCTTGCCTGGAGAATCCCATGGACAGAGGAGTCTGGCAGGCTATGGTCCATAGGGTTGCAAAGGATTGGACATGACTGAGCACGCATGCCCTTCTCAAGAACTGACATTTCCTGAGACACTGAGCACCAATAAAAAATAAACTGCACCCACTGGGATCAGAGTGTGGCAACAGCCGATCTAGACAGCTGCCGAGATCGTAGCTAGAATGATGACAGCGGCACTCAGCAGAGGAAAGGCTGGGTTTAAGTGTCCAATCATTATGAATGGAGATGAAATGCATGTGTAATAACACCAATTACGGAGCCTTCATTTGTTATTCATGTGGTACCATTCACCACTGTCAGGGTACTGGTTGCTGGGGTCCATGCCCCCTGCTGTAGCCTGTCCTGATAGGAGGGTGGAGGTGGGTTTGCTCCCTGAACAGAGGGCTGAGCTTAAATAAGATACATGAGGGAGGACTGTGCCCCATGACCACTTGGCAACCCCCAATGGCCACCTCACTCCAATTGCCACCTGGCCATGGCATTGCCCCCTATCTAATGATGTCCCCCGGAGATGCTTTCCTCCCTGAGAGTCTGCACCGAAAGACAGACAGACTGCACCACAGACAGGGTGGGCAGACACACCTGTTCTTAGTACCACAAAACACCAAGGGAGAATAAAGAGGGAATGATGCTCTCCAGGTGGCGCTAGTGGTAAAGAATCCTCCTGCCAATGCAGAAAATGTAAGAGACACGGGTTGGATCCTGGGGTCGGGAAGATCCCCTGAAGTAGGAAATGACAACCCACTCCAGGATTCTTGCCTGGAAAATTCCACAGAGGAGCCTGGTGGTCTACAGTCCACTGAGTCCCAACAAGTTGGACACAACTGAGCATGCGTAAGCTCATGAGCTGGCAAAATGAAGCAAGAAATAGTGCCTGCAAGGATTTCTGGAGCAGAAGTGAGTCTGAGAAGGGAACTTTGGAGACGAACATTCATTAGTTCTCTATACTGTGCATGGCACACTTGGGCATTCTGTGTTATCACCTTCAGCCTTCCCTATGAGGTAGGCCCCATTATCCCACTTTCCAAAGGAGCTGAGGATCAGAGAGGTTATATACTTGTTTAAGGTTACACAGCCTTAAAGGGATGGAAACCAGATTTGAACTCAGCACCATTTACTTTCTTTTCACACTTTCTGGGTTGGGTCAATTCATAAACCCAGGAAAGTCATATCTGAATTATCAATACTTCTCCCAGCCAGCTCTCTGATGACTGATATTTCACCCTTAGGAACATATACCTTTGACTTGGGACACTCACCACACACTAAACTAAAACTTATTTACACTTGAGCATGGACAGGTTGATCAGACACAGTAAGTTAGGAGAAGCAGAGTAGCAGACCACAGACACGCTTTCCCACTTGAGAACTCTATCTGTAGCTTCTGCCTGCTTCTCCCCATGAAGGTGAATTTCATGTTCCCTTTCTGGTTTCATTTTTTTCCCATGAAGAATGGGCTGTCAAGACAATATGGCTGACATGCTGCTGCTGCTGCTGCTGCTGCTAAGTCGCTTCAGTTATGTCCGACTCTGTGCGACCCCATAGATGGCAGCCCACCAGGCTCCCCTGTCCCTGGGATTCTCCAGGCAAGAACACTGCAGTGGGTTGCCATTTCCTTCTCCAACAGCTGACAAGGGCATTAGGCAAATAGCTCCAGCCCATGGGTTTTCCACGGCCGTCCAGAGATGCGCTGGTGGAGGCACATGTCCAGTAGCCATGGTGATACCAGGAACCCCGAGTCCTGGCACTGCTCTACCAAGCAGAGGAGGCTGGGGTGAGGGGTGGGGTCAGCATATCCCAGCTCTGCCAGGAAGCCTGGGAAGCAGAAGCTTGCACTCTCAGAAGGAAATGTTAGCCAGGAGAGTTGGCCCACCTGGGAGCCCAACATGAAGTTAATTAGCAATTTGGATAAACAAGTTCACGAAAGCTGCCAAGACACAGAGCAGAGGGTGCAGGGAGCCGGGGGGAGGGGAAGAAGGGTGCTGTGGCACCAGGACCCTCTCCCACCTGCAGAGCCAAGGTGCCTTCCTCAACTCCGCCCCATGGGCTCCTTCTGTGGCAGGCCCAGCGGGTGCCAGCCACCCCTGAATTCCTGCACTGTTCACTCGTTATTTAAAAAAAAACTGAACCATCCCATCTACTGACTTCCACCCCTCCCTGCTCCTCTCTCAGAGTGAGGACAGAGAAAGGGGAACCACATGTGCCCACCTCTTATGGCCAACAGAGGCACGAGACAGGGAAAAGGACTTGCTGCGGATTAAACTGAGGCTGGGTCCCGACTCACAGATCTTTTCTCTTGGCCTCTTTGGCCAAAAGTGGGACAATCCTCCTTGATGAAACCTACACGGAGCCTCAGTCTCCCGTGTGGCGCCTCTAGGCTGGTCCCAGAAAGCACGCACTCCCTGAGGAGACAGGCAGAGCTGAGGCCAAGCCCTGATGGACGCAGTGGCCTGTGCTCTAGCAGGCTGCCCCATTTTGGGTCCCAGGGTTACAGGTTCCCCTTCAGGGCTCAAATGATTCCTCTCTCCCCTACATTATTCCCCAAGCCTAATTATGCTGTAAGTGGTGGCCCTACTTTCACCCAGCATTTTCCTTTTGGTGGCAAGGATACTGCTGTCTTTCTCACAACTCTTTGTGTGGTCTGTGATTTTTTTGTTTTTCTTGCTCGCACTGCACAGCATGTGGGATCTTAGTTCCCAGACCAGGGATTGAACCCACTTCCCCGGCACTGGAAGCACAGAGTCTTCACCACTGGACCACCAGGGAAGTTCCATTCTCACAACTCTTGATTGGGACGTTAAAGGGACCAGGGAGGAGGCAGCTGCACTACCCAACTTAGAGGTCAAGGCCTCACACTTGAGCCTCCTGTCCAGTCCCTCCACCCCCACCCTGGGCCGTCCTGCCAACTGGCAGGGCTCCTCAGAGCACTGCCCATCGGCTCCTGCCCCACACGGGGCTGTGTGGCCTCAAGGAGCTGAGACTGAGGGCAAAAAAGAGCTAAGGAGCCCTGGGGTCAGACTGCCTGGGTGCCTCATCCCGCCACTGCCAGGCAGCCGGGGCAGTGGGGCAGTCTGTGCCTGCTTCCTCGCTACCCAGTGGGACAGTTCCAGTGTCCCTAGTGGTGGTACTGCAGGACTGGGTGAGCTTCGACACAGCAAGCGCCTGGCATGCAGTGAGCCCTCAGTAAATGGTAACGGAGCTGAGACGGGCGGGGAACCCTCTGTGAATACCCCCTTGCAGCTTCTGAGGACGAGCTGGATCTGGAACCCAAACTATCACAAAGTCTTTGCTTTTCAGAAGTGAGATTTAGAAGGTCACTGAACTCAATGTCCTTTCTGCTGTTTTATAGATGACGAATCTTGGGAGGCCTGGGGAGAAGTGACTTGCCTGGTTCCCATGGCCAAAGTTGTCCCTTCTTTCCATTGCCTGGGGACAGAGGGCGTGGATTTTGCTGGAAGTTAAACCTGTCCAGGTGGAAAGCCACCCATGTGAACTGGTCTGGCCAGCAGCAGCCCCTCTCCTGGCAGGTGGGAGGATGCAGGAGGTTCAATCCGCCCTTGACAGGAGGGTCCTAACCTCTGTGAAGGAGCACCCTGCTCCTTCAAGCTTCCTGCTCTCCTGGGCCCCTCACACTGGCTGGCTGTATCCTGTTGGGGACCTATCTGTCCCCCAACACCCAACTGTTTCAGCTGGTGGGCCACCCCTGTGACCAGTGTCC